GTAGTACTAAAATCAAGTACCAGGAATGCAAGGGGGTAGGGGGTGCATGAGCGAAAAGCAGTTGCCTGTGATTAGTTAAATGTCTGCATCTTCACACCTTTAGCATTACAAGTACCACACAGTTGACTGTGTGTGTGAGAGGAGCAGCCCCTCCCTCCTCTAAACAAAGACTGATCAAGAGAAAATACAGTGGAAAGAAAAAACAGGACAGTCCGCTTCAACCATGAAGGCTATGCTTGGTGATGGTTAAGGGAAGTACGGGTTAGACTGCTCCTTAGGCGGGATTCCACACAGTGGTGAACATGGCCTTGTCCCAACTTTTTTGAGATGTGTTGATGCCATGAAACTTAAAATCACCTTATTTTTCCCTTAAAATTATGCATTTTCTCAGTTTGAACATTTGATGTGTCATCTATGTTGTATTCTGAATAAAATATTGAAATTTGAAACTTCCACATCATTGCATTCTGTTTTTATTCACATTTTGTACAGTGTCCCAACTTTTCTGGAATCGGATTTGTAGTTATCCTTGGCCATAATGCACCCTGCAAGAAACTCATGAGAATGACTAAGCATTTAAACTAGACTTCCTGTCTCCACTAAACATTTCTAATACAACAAATATCTAACCAATTTCTATCTGACTAAAAATACCTAACAGGTTCCAATAGTGAAAACACAGTGTTCATTACGTGCATTCTAGCATGCACTGTGTATGTTTTTCTCTTCTCGCTTTTCCTGGTTCATCTTTCTGTGTGGAGTTCTTTGGCCCTCCCTTCTCTGCCATCTCTATCTACAGGGTCTCCCTATGGGTGTGGTTCATTCCAGGACCTCCTCCTTCCATAGCTACTGTGCTCCTGAGAGGCCCATTCAAACTTAATTGGATGCTGTTCCCTCCAATCTCTGCTTAGCACATGCCACCTAAGTCTATAAAAGTGCCTGACAGGACAGGGCTTTGTTTGGTGAGTTGTGTAGGTGGGTGACACACATGGTAAGACTGGGCTACTCTATACAGTACATGGTGTTAGTGTTAGGTAGAGGCCACCCCTTGTGGTTTGTTGCAGGACCTAGGGAGGAGTGTAAGATTTTGTTTGTTCACTCTCCCACCTGTTATCTTTTTCATGTTAGGGTTGCCTTAGTTATCTGTATTTGGTTTTGTGGCGTTCTTTGTTTTGTTTGACGTTGCCTGCACATTCTTCTTTTTGATCTGGGTTCATGTGTTCTCCTTCACTTCCCTAGAATGAGACTGTAATACTTTGAATTTTAAGTTGTTAAAGCTAATGCCAACTGTGTGAGGATGCTTCTGTGCTTTTGCATTAAGCCTGTGCTGTCAGGCAACGCTGAATTTGGCATCTGATTCACAGCCTCTGAGTCGGCAGTTAAGGGAAACTTTAGTTGGAATACAAAGTCATGTTTTCTTTTTTCATTGAACTGTTAAAGCATTCTAGAAAAACCACTGACACTTTGTGAAGCCTAAATTGTTTGTGAAACTCTTATAACTGTAAAAAAAGGGACAATTTAACTGTTTATTCCCCAATTTAACCCGTCAGACCAGATGTAGATCCAAAATGGTACCAAATCTGGACTAAGTTTAAAGTGTCTTTAAAATTGTGAAACCTTTCTCATCTAAACCCCCTCAGACCAGGGACCAGATGCGTAAAGGATCTGTACACACAAAAACCATGCATAAGCCTTTTCCCACGCATAACTCTTGTGTGTAACCACAGAATGTTCGCATTTCGCCCATACTGCGTAGGTAGGTGCGATATAGTTAAGCGGAAATGAAAAATGAGGTGAGACTACCGATTTTAAATGGCTTATATATTTTTAAAGCTGTTTACATATACTTCTGTTCATAAAGTGAATTTGAGTTTATGCTGGCCTAATAAATTTTTGGGGCCATAATGTAATCTTCCCGTTTTTCCTTTTATACTTTCTGTAAAGTGCGGATATCAGTCAATTCATTTTCATCACTGCTAACAATAACCCTTTACATGTGATTAAATTACAACAGAAAGCTGTAGTTGTGTGTAATTATCGTACATAAGGATGGGCGTCCTGGCGTCACTGGAGGATTTTGACAATTCCTCCAAGATGAGTGTGTTTTTAAAGGTTGTTCTGGTTCCTATGTGAAAGCAGTGTGGCTCCTCTGCTGTAGATCAGTGGTCCCCAACCCCCGGGCCGCGGACCGGTACCGGTCCGTGGATCAATTGGTACCGGGCCGCACAAGAAATCATTAATTATTTCCGTTTTATTTATTATCTGAGTCTGAACGATCTTTTATTTTGAAAAATGACCGCATTCTCTCGGTTACATCTCGGTCACTTGAGCGCCAAAACTGGCTTACTTGTGGACATATTCAGCCTGCTCAATGAACTCAATCTGTCACTTCAGGGGAAAATGACAACTGTCTTCAAGTTGGCAGATAAAGTAGCTGCATTTAAAGCCAAACTGGATTTGTGCGTACGGCGCGTCAACAGAGGTATTTTGGACATGTTTCAAACATTAGCGGGGATTTTGGGTGAGACTGAGCCTGAGCCTTCATTCTCCCAGCTGGTGCACGATCACCTGTCTTTGCTTATAAAAGAGTTCGAGCGCTACTTCCCAACCACAAAGGACCCACGAACTGCCAAGGAATGGATCCGCAACCCATTTGTCAACAAACCAGGTGAATCCAGCAGGTCTGTGCAAGAAGAAGATCAACTGCTGGAGATCGCAAATGACGGCGGCCTTAAAAGTATGTTCGAGACAACAACTCTGTCGGTGTTCTGGATTAAAGTCATGACAGAATACCCTGAGATCGCCACCACAGCACTGAAAACCCTGTTGCCATTTCCGACATCCTATCTGTGTGAAGCGGGTTTTTCGGCAGTGACAGCAACCAAAACAAAACAACGGAGTAGACTGAACATAAGCAACACACTTCGGGTGTCATTGTCTCCTGTTACCCCCAGATGGGACCGTCTCGTTGCAGAGAAACAAGCTCAGGGCTCCCATTGTTTTAGCGTTATGGGGAGTTGAAAATTTCAACACAGTGGATTCATGTTTATTATTATATTGAGGGAGAGGGGAGGAGGAGAACTTGTGAGTCTTAGCGGGCACACAAACATGCAGGAGCCTCATCTGACGGTTCAAACTGGCAACTTTATTTCAGCTGTTGAAAAATAACATTCATGGAGTGTTTAATATTTAAAAAAATAAAAATGATGTGTAGGTATATTTAGATAATAGAGAAAGAAATGTGGAATTGCTGGTTCTTGTCATTTATTTATTTTTTCACGTGAATTTGTTTTATAATTTACGTATGGGGCAGAGGAGATGTTACACTCATGTTATGTTGTTGGCGCAATGTTACGAGGAAGCTGCTAATAAAGTTGCATACAAGTACACAGTGGATTCACGTTTATTATATTTACAATATAAACAATCTACGTACACACCAGAACCCCCCCCTCCGGGCCGCGGTAAAGTTGTCAAGCGTTAACCGGTCCGCAGTGATAAAAAGGTTAGGGACCACTGCTGTAGATGATGCAGGAGGTGCCGCTCCTCCTCCTGTTGCCCTAATGTTCTCCTTTTGCGCACAGATGCCTCTCGCTTACAATCCGTCCGCTTTAAGTACCTCAGCCATGGCCCCTTGCTCTGAACTGACAGTAGTGATAGCCCACCAAATCATGCAAATGATCGATTAAAGGCGTGTTCATACCAATTTGTGGCTAAAAGTGCGAGTGGAAAGAAGCTCCTGAATGTGCGCCCAATTCCAAGACAATTCAGATCCGATCGACACAACGCTCACTTCTGTCTTAGTGCGCGCACACAGTTGTCATGAATCCACACAGAATGTTATGCAACTGGCTTCGAGGACTAGATTATCAAGTAGAGTATGATTCTTTCGTGTTTGGCTGTAAAAACCTATTTATGAAAATGCTATAAAGGGACATTTCACAGTTTTCTCCCCTTCTAGGCTACAGCAGACCAGGTCTAGGGACTTCGTTATATTAAACGTTATCATTGCTGCAAATTGCCTCAGTAGGAATAGCTAACAGATTTCTACCAAAGGTGGCGTGTTTTTTTTTAAGTAGGCTAATGCTGTAATATAAGGGAGTTGCATAGCTACAAGTTCACCTCAAAACAGCAGCAATGTCCAAGCTATGTCATTGAGGAAATTAATGTTTTAAATGCCTTTTTAAATACTGTTATTGAGATATGATTAGTAAGCTTAAGTTTTGTCTGGTAAAATTGTTCTTGGACACAGCCAGCAGGAGAAGTTCCAGCAGAAACCTTGATAGAACTGTTTCTAATGTTGTGCTGATGTCATACGTATGTAGGAGTGAGTGTACTGGAAAGCAAAAAATCTGGCAACTTCAAGTTCCATACAACTTTAATGCAAAAATAAAAGACCAATGCATTTCCACAAAGCCTTTGTCAGGGTCTGTAGACAGTGGTGTTGGTCTTTCATCTTTGCCTTAAAGTTGTTTGGAACTTCAACTGTTGCCAGACTTTTTGCTTTCTGGTTTGTTTTCCTGCTTTGTGATTATACAACTTTTGACACTTTGCCATTTAACATATTGTCTCATCTCAGTGCATCCCAGTGCCTGCTAGCCAAGACTTCAAGATCCACGTCAACCAGTGTAGCAGGTCCAGCACCAAGAGGATGCAGTCACTGAATTTAATGCGAGTCCTGGGGCCTGTACCTTGATGGAGGTTTAGTGGCTTATCCAGTTAAGTTTGGGCTCAGCTCTGGTTTTCTGGTACCATGAAGCTGGCTCACTTTAAGGTGACTGGCAAAGCTGAGGGATAATTTTACAGGATCCTAATGAGTTTTACATTGTGATTAGACTGATCGTTGTGCTGTTTCTGGTTTAAAGCAAAGTTTCTAATAAAACTGAGGGCGTCTCTGTACCCCCTTCAAGATCAATGCTGATTTGAGTTGACTAAGATTATTTGATACATCACAATACTTTTGCACACTTTCATTAGTGCAGCTTGGAACAACATGAAGAGACTAATAACTGGGGTTTTATTAGAAAAACAGTCCATACACAATATTTTCCATGATTGTACATTAACATATAAGCCTTGAGGTCGAACATCTCCCCACTGTCCTCCTCCAGCCTCAGAACCTTTTATCAGGAATCGGGTACCTGCAAGAATCCACCACAAATACTACAACATTATACACTCTCAGCCACTTTATTAGGTACACCTGTGTGCATTAATATCTGTGTTTATGGAGCTCAAAATGGTTTTCTGGTGAAACTGTCAGTGTATAAATTCAATTATGTTTGAGGTCATTGGTGAAGGTGGTGCTGTACTGGACTACATTAGATTCAGACGTGTCTATACATTTGTCCTCCCAGCTATATACACGAGCCAAAATATTAGAGGCACCTGAATATAATGTAGTCCACCTCTGACCTAAAAAATAAACAATTGAATTTATACATTTGCTAAAGTTTCACCAAAAAGACATTTTGAGCTTCATAAACAATGTTAAAGTGGAAGTGTTGCATTGAATCGCATACAATTGTACAGGTGTGCCTAATAAAGCGGCTGTGAATGTACACAACACAAACTCATTCATGAACCAGTTAGTTTAGTGAATACACAGCATAAAAATGTACAGTGGATACTTACAACCTTGAAGACATCTGCAAGCCTCTACAACTGTTGGATGGCCAGGTTAAATCCCTGTGAAGTCTGTTATTCTGTGGCTGGGGGTTTTTCATCCTGCTAAAAGAAACAGAATTATGTGTAGACCACAAGGGATTGTCTGAAAAACAAATGCCAAAATATCCCAAAGCAAGGATAAGGGCCAATGCCTTTTTATAACTGAGTACTTGGCGTAGAACGGCTCCAACACGAGCATCACTTACATAAACAGCTACTTTAAAAAGGTCAAAGTCAGGGGTACCAACAGTGTTTGACTGTCAAGGCAAGTGGGCAAACAAAAGGAACCTTTGGGCTAAGCAGGGTAGTCACATGCACAGCCACAATAGCAACATTTGAACAAAAACTCCTACTACCCTACCATATCAAGAAAACACCTTAACGCATGCTGACAGGAACAGCAATGTTGACAGTAGCCTCCATTTTGGATCCAGTGGGGCAAATGACTTTTCCCATGTAGTAAGTAGAAACTTATTTAAGACCTTAGAAACAAATACATTACATAGCTGTAGTTTTTCATAAGAGAGTGGCCTCAGGCAATCAAGCAGCTGCACACAACATATTGGTTATGAGGAACTGAGAACAACACAATCAGGATAAGATGAAAAGGCTCACCAACAACAGGTATAGAATGCAACAGTGTGGGTGCATTCTTCTGATTAGGTTTACCTATGATTTGGCATGTTTAACAATAAGCCACATCTGATTTCACACCAGGCCAGTAAAAATGTTGCAACACTCGATCTAAGCTCTTTGAGTCCCACATGTGCAGCAAGACCTTGATCATGAGCCAAGAGCAAGATAAAAGACAATAAGCACTCAGAACAATGACCTGGTACACACCGCTCCAGTCATCTTCACATATCCTCTCAGGCAGAGTCCACTTTCTCATCAACACCTCATTGCTTACAAAACAACATCTTCAATTGCATCCTAAGAAACAGCATCCTCATTGGTTCTCTGTTCAAACTCCATGAGAAGGAAATGTATTGCCAAAAAAAAAAAAATCCAGCAGAGCATCTTTTGCTGGAAAAAGTATCAAAAGGTGCAACTTCTGAATCAGCATTTTTGCACAGGACCTTTCCTGACATGGCACACAGGAAATGTGACTGGATACTGCTGCTAAAGCTCATCTGGGCCTTACAATAGAGACTACTTCAGGTGTAGCAAAATACTCCACCACCAGCCAAATAGTTTCAAAGAATAAAAGGAAACACCTACACAAATACATTCTTCAGGTGTAGCAAAATACTCCACCACCAGCCAAATAGTTTCAAAGAATAAAAGGAAACACCTAAACAAATACATTTAGATGGAGCAGTAGTTACCAACATCACCTATAAAGCAGCTACCAAGCTCAGGGACATCCAGCCAACACATAAAATCAAGTTGCACGCTACCACTTGACAAACCAAAAGTTGCTTAACATACACAAGTTAGGATTGTGGACATGTTACAAGAATTGTAGCCAGTAAACAGAGCACAAACCTTAACTCACCTAACTTAACACAATCTCCTCATAATGAGCACTGCAAATTAGCTTCTGAGTGCATCAGTATTAACTGTACAAAAGCAACCCTCCACAGTACCTGCCTAATTTTCACTAAAACCCAAACATCTTCTGAGACATGCCAGTCTTTGGGCAGCTTTAAAAGCAGAGCTCCAGTAAACCTCAGCCATGTGGCCAAGATATCAGAATGCCAGCAACACGTTTCCTCCCAGGGCTACCTCAAAAATATGAAAGGCAAAAAAAAAAAAAAACTAAACGAGTCAGTTAATGGAAGGACAAGTTACTCCATCCAGCTGGTACACTCCCTAAATAACCAGGGAGGTCACTACAAACAAATTGTGTACTCAGAAACTCACTACTCACCAAATTGCTGCAATAGGAGCCACAAACCATAGCCAAAAGCTTAAACAGCACACCGCCAAACCACAAACATGGGACCAAACTGAAAGAATCTAGAAGAAAAACAACAAAACTCCTCTTGCTTTAACCTATCCTGAAGAAGCCCCAAGTATGTTACAAAGCAAACAAAGAACTAAATATGACAACCATGCTGCAGGGGCTGGCTAGAAAACAAATGAGAAAGTGGGTGGGGCTCAATTGAGCTTTTAGAGGCAGGCCAACAGGTGTCAGGAATCAGGTAATGATGGGAGGAAACATCCAAGGTGCTGTACCTCTAAGACTGCAAGACAAATGTAAAAATGTATTTATAAATAAAAGTAAAAATAAATGTTGAAATAAATACATGTGTAAATAAATGAACATTGTCTGACTGTTGTCACAATTTTCAAAAATTCTGGAAAAACTCTTTAATAACAGATTAGATACATTTATTGACAAACATAAAATCCTCTCTGATTGCCAATACGGTTTTAGGTCGAACCAATCGACATCTTTGGCCATTACAGACCTGATGGAGGACATTACAAGTGCTATGGATGAGAAGAAATACATGGTGGGAATATTTATTGACCTAAAAAAAGCATTTGACACAATCAATCATGAATTATTAATGGACAAGTTAGAAAAATATGGGATCAGAGGAATGGTTCTGAAATGGATTAGAAGTTATTTGACACAGAGGCGTCAATTTGTGAAGTTGGGTGAATACCAATCGAGTGAGCTGGACATTGTATGTGGAGTGCCTCAGGGTTCTGTCTTGGGACCTAAATTATTTATACTATATATTAATGATATATGCAAGGTTTCTGATTTAGTGAAAGTGGTTTTGTTTGCTGATGACACTACCATATGGGCAT